ATTTCGGTAATTTTTCCTTAATATAGTAAAAAAATAAAACCCCCAGTGGTGAATAAATACCACCAAAAGAAAGCTCTATCTGTCCCCAAAAAAGGGTATAAAATTAATTTCAGTACAGCGCTGCATGACGGAATAAATGTCAGTTAAAGTACCGCAGCGCTGAATACTGAAAAATGGCCTGGATGGGAAGGGGGTTTAACACCGCGGATGTCAACTGGTTAAGCTATTTAGAACCCCAGGGAAGGAGATCTAGCAGCACTTCCTGTCCCAGTGACACAGAGGTTCTTCCCCTCCCCCCTGCGTAGTTGGTTATTATACGGATGGGTGAGCGGTCGGTGACCTCCTTTATCACTACCAAGCGGTGAGACGGATCCCTTATAATTATCACCCTTGACATAATGACAGTCCTGGCTGTGGGACCTTCATGGCTGGCGGGGTCACCGGGGAGGATATGGATGGGAGCTGCAGGATTAACCCTTTCACTGCTGGAACACTGTGTGCCCCCCCTATTATCACATTTGCTCTCCCGGTGTCCCCCCGATTATCTTGTTGGCTCACTCACTGTGTGCCCTCTTTTTATCATACTGGTTCCCTGTGTGCCCCCCTTTTATCCTATCGGTTTCCTGTGTGCCCCCCTAATATCCTATTGGCTCCCTGTGTGCCCCCCTAATATCCATGTGTGCCCAACAGTTATACTATAGGTTCCCTGTGTGCCTCCCTAATATCCTATCTGCTCCATGTGTGCCGCCTTTTTATCCGATCGGCTCCCTGCGTGCCCCCCTAATATCCTATCGGCTTTCTGTGCGCCCCCCTAATATCCCATCGGCTTTCTGTGCGCCCCCCTAATATCCCATCGGCTCCATGTGTGCCCAATCGTTATACTATAGGTTCACTGTGTACCCCCCTTTATCTTATTGGTTCACCTACCTATTTGTATATATACTATATATGCACACCAACCTATATGTTTACATTCTCTAAGTACCTACCTATGCCCCACCCCCCACATATATACCTATATGTGCAGATGTTTACCTACATATATAGATGTATATTATTCCCTCAGTGATAAGTGAGTGTGTGTCATCCTCCATAGGTGTACCTACCTCTGGCAGCGTGTATGACAACACTCAGCGGGGTCTCCATAGACACAAACAGTCACGTCACGTGGTGTAAAAGACTCTCCAGCTTCGCACTCCGCTCCGCACTCTCCCTCTCCGCTCTCTCTGGCGGCGTGACGTCATAACCTAACGCGGCGCTTGACTAGACGGTAGGGAAGCTGGCCGCCATTTTTGATTCGGGCAGAGTTCGCCCTCATTGCTCTTTGGTGATTACTGTAAGTAGCAGAATGTGTCCCAACTACCCTCCTTTCTAGGGCAGCACGGGGCTGATTGTGTGTCCCTCTATTATCCTATTGGCTGTGTGTCCCTCTATTATCCTATTGGCTCACTGTGTGCCCCTCTATTATGCTATTGGCTCACTGTGTGCCCCTCTATTATGCTATTGGCTCACTGTGTTTCCCTCTGTTATTCTATTGGTGCACTGTGTGCCCCCTTTTATCATATTGGTGCACTGTGTGCCCCCCTATTATCTTGTTGGCTGACCCTGTGTCTCCACATAATCCTATTGATTTATCCGTGTCTCCCAGTTATTCTATCGCTCTTACTCTGCCCTCCCCCATTATCCTGCTGGCTCACCCTGTATCTCCATGTTATTCTATTATTTCTCCCTGTGCCCTCCAGTTAGCCTGTTGGCTCCTTTTTTTTCCACCATACTATCACTGTGTGCCTCCCTAATTTTTACTGGTTCACCCCGTGTCCAACTTTATTCTATTGGCTATCTCTTTGTTCCTTTATTACTCATGGTCCACTGTGTGCCTTCCTCTTATTCTATTGGCTATTCTAGTGCCTTCCTCTTATTCTATTGGCTCTAGGCTTGCCACCTTTTCTTCAACCGAAACCCGAACACTATATCGTCACACGGACATATTCTTTTGGGAGAAGGAGTCGTGGCTTATTCATATGTAATGGGCACCACCCATTAATATGTAAATAACACATTTGAGACTATTTTCAGTGGGGGACCAGTAGCCCCTATCTTAATTTTGGTTGCCCCTGTCTGCCTGATATCTTGTGTCCGGGTTCCTGGTGCCATGAAACCCGGACACAGCATTCAAAACCCGAACTGCCCGGGTGAATCCTGGACAGGTGGCAACCCTAATTGGCTCACCTCATGTCTCCCTATCATTCTATTGGCTCACCCTGTGTCTCCCTATCATTCTATTGGCTCACCCTGTGTCTCCCTATCATTCTATTAGCTCATTCTGTCTCCATATGATCCTATTGGCTCACCCTGTGTCTCCCTATGATCCTATTGGATCTCCCTGTATCTCCCTATTACTCTATTGGCTCACCCTGTGTCTTTCTATTATTCTATTGTCTCCCCCTGTGTCTCTCTATTACTCTATTGGCTCACCCTGTTTCCTCCTATTATTCGATTGACTCACCCTGTGTCTCCCTATCACTCTATTGGCAAACCCTGTGTCTCCTTATCACTCTATTGGCTCACTCTTTGTCTTACATGCTTGTGGATGGCAGATTATAGGCACGAGGAATGTTCTTGAGCCCGGTATCTCCCATGGCAGCATAGGAAGTATTGAGCTAATGGCCAGTGATTGGAAACATTCTTCTTCCTGTGGAAGCTTTGAATGAACTATGGAAATATGATAGATCAGGGGAAACTCCTCCCCCCAATATCTTAGTAAATGTGGAAAACTCCTTTAAATCCCCAGTATAGTAAGATCACGATGTTATGGAGGCTTTCCCTGTTCTGTTAGTGCTGTGAGCACAAAGATCATCTTCCCGTAATGTGGACTGTTATTCTCAGAGGTCAGCAAACATCTGTGTCCCCGACCAGTCCATGTGTCTGCTGACCAGAGGCTGAAAACAAACTGGAGTATGGGAAATAGAAAGAATGCTGAGCGTGCAATATGACAGAGAAAGTCTTTCTTTCTCTCTCTCTCTTTCCCTCTCTCTCTCTCTCTTTCCCTCTCTCTCTTTCCCTCTCTCACTCTTTCCCTCTCTCTCTTTCTCCCTCTCTCTTTCTCCCTCTCTCTTTCTCCCTCTCTTTCCCTCTCTCTCTCTTTCCCTCTCTTTCCCTCTTTCCCTCTCTCTCTCTTTCTCCCTCTCTCTTTCTCCCTCTCTCTTTCTCCCTCTCTTGTCCCTCTATTATCCTATTGGCTGTGTGTCCCTCTATTATCCTATTGGCTCACTGTGTGCCCCTCTATTATGCTATTGGCTCACTGTGTGCCCCTCTATTATGCTATTGGCTCACTGTGTTTCCCTCTGTTATTCTATTGGTGCACTGTGTGCCCCCTTTTATCATATTGGTGCACTGTGTGCCCCCCTATTATCTTGTTGGCTGACCCTGTGTCTCCACATAATCCTATTGATTTATCCGTGTCTCCCAGTTATTCTATCGCTCTTACTCTGCCCTCCCCCATTATCCTGCTGGCTCACCCTGTATCTCCATGTTATTCTATTATTTCTCCCTGTGCCCTCCAGTTAGCCTGTTGGCTCCTTTTTTTTCCACCATACTATCACTGTGTGCCTCCCTAATTTTTACTGGTTCACCCCGTGTCCAACTTTATTCTATTGGCTATCTCTTTGTTCCTTTATTACTCATGGTCCACTGTGTGCCTTCCTCTTATTCTATTGGCTATTCTAGTGCCTTCCTCTTATTCTATTGGCTCTAGGCTTGCCACCTTTTCTTCAACCGAAACCCGAACACTATATCGTCACACGGACATATTCTTTTGGGAGAAGGAGTCGTGGCTTATTCATATGTAATGGGCACCACCCATTAATATGTAAATAACACATTTGAGACTATTTTCAGTGGGGGACCAGTAGCCCCTATCTTAATTTTGGTTGCCCCTGTCTGCCTGATATCTTGTGTCCGGGTTCCTGGTGCCATGAAACCCGGACACAGCATTCAAAACCCGAACTGCCCGGGTGAATCCTGGACAGGTGGCAACCCTAATTGGCTCACCTCATGTCTCCCTATCATTCTATTGGCTCACCCTGTGTCTCCCTATCATTCTATTGGCTCACCCTGTGTCTCCCTATCATTCTATTGGCTCACCCTGTGTCTCCCTATCATTCTATTAGCTCATTCTGTCTCCATATGATCCTATTGGCTCACCCTGTGTCTCCCTATGATCCTATTGGATCTCCCTGTATCTCCCTATTACTCTATTGGCTCACCCTGTGTCTTTCTATTATTCTATTGTCTCCCCCTGTGTCTCTCTATTACTCTATTGGCTCACCCTGTTTCCTCCTATTATTCGATTGACTCACCCTGTGTCTCCCTATCACTCTATTGGCAAACCCTGTGTCTCCTTATCACTCTATTGGCTCACTCTTTGTCTTACATGCTTGTGGATGGCAGATTATAGGCACGAGGAATGTTCTTGAGCCCGGTATCTCCCATGGCAGCATAGGAAGTATTGAGCTAATGGCCAGTGATTGGAAACATTCTTCTTCCTGTGGAAGCTTTGAATGAACTATGGAAATATGATAGATCAGGGGAAACTCCTCCCCCCAATATCTTAGTAAATGTGGAAAACTCCTTTAAATCCCCAGTATAGTAAGATCACGATGTTATGGAGGCTTTCCCTGTTCTGTTAGTGCTGTGAGCACAAAGATCATCTTCCCGTAATGTGGACTGTTATTCTCAGAGGTCAGCAAACATCTGTGTCCCCGACCAGTCCATGTGTCTGCTGACCAGAGGCTGAAAACAAACTGGAGTATGGGAAATAGAAAGAATGCTGAGCGTGCAATATGACAGAGAAAGTCTTTCTTTCTCTCTCTCTCTTTCCCTCTCTCTCTCTCTCTTTCCCTCTCTCTCTTTCCCTCTCTCACTCTTTCCCTCTCTCTCTTTCTCCCTCTCTCTTTCTCCCTCTCTCTTTCTCCCTCTCTCTTTCTCCCTCTCTTTCCCTCTCTCTCTCTTTCCCTCTCTTTCCCTCTTTCCCTCTCTCTCTCTTTCTCCCTCTCTCTTTCTCCCTCTCTCTTTCTCCCTCTCTCTTTCTCCCTCTCTCTTTCTCCCTCTCTCTCTTTCCCTCTCTCTCTCTTTCTCCCTCTCTCTTTCTCCATCTCTCTTTCTCCATCTCTCTTTCTCCCTCTCTCTTTCTCCATCTCTCTTTCTCCCTCTCTCTTTCTCCCTCTCTCTTTCTCCCTCTCTCTCTTTCTCCCTCTCTCTCTTTCTCCCTCTCTCTCTTTCTCCCTCTCTCTCTTTCTCCCTCTCTCTCTTTCTCCCTCTCTCTTTCTCCCTCTCTCTCTTCCTCTCTCTCTCTCTCTTCCTCTCTCTTTCTCCCTCTCTTTCTCCCTCTCTCTCTTCCTCTCTCTTTCTCCCTCTCTCTCTTCCTCTCTCTTTCTCCCTCTCTCTCTTCCTCTCTCTTTCTCCCTCTCTCTCTCTCTCTTTCTCCCTCTGGCTTTCTCTCTCTCTCTCTCTTCCTCTCTCTTTCTTTCTTGCGCAGCACAGGCAGCGTTGTCATCTCAAACAGGAAGTTAGGAGCTGACTGGATTTCTGTCGGGATAGACAGGCACACACATTATTTTTATAAAGACTAAACATGGAGAAGGGTGCGAGTATTGCAGAGTCACTGGGGCCGCACTCTGTGGCGTCACAAGGTGAGTGCGGCCCGTATTGGGTGACACCATCAGATGGGGTGACACCAAAATGACTGGCAGTCATTTTGGTGTCACCCCCACTTAAAAGTTGGGCACTCGGTCACGGACCGAGAGCACAACAGCAGCACTAGAAAGGGCGGGGGTTCCGGTGACGTACCTGAATCCATTGGGTCATTATCCCCTCCTCTCTTTGCCGGTGTCCATTACCAAGATGACCGGCGGCAGTAAAGTACATCACCGCGCACGCCTGATGATGTCACACCATGGTTGCCATAATGCAAGAGTGGCGGCCGCACCGGGTGACACCGCCCTAGTGCTGCCGCTGGTCGCACTCTCATCATGTATCCAGGACGGAGAGCGAGCACAAGGAATCGTCAGTCTTTATTCTCACCAATAATAAAACATTCTTCATAAACAAATATAAATAAATGACGAGGAAAACACAAATATTTATTCAGAATGAATTATATTATAAAGTTAAAAAAGCCAAAAGAATTGTAACTGTCAGAATGATACTTATCAATGGACACGCCCCGTCACCTGACATACCGGCCGTCCGGAACGGGAAGAAGGGGACTGGTGTTCTATCGAAAGCTCCAACTCGTCGAAATCTCCAACTACCTCACTGCTGGATACTTGCAAGTTGGAGATTTGGACCAGACGGCGTTAGACTGCAAAACACAAAGACTGACGGAGCTTCTGTACAGCTGCATTTTAACAATATTCAGCCACTATGCGCACCGCAACTGTACAGAGCTCCAGTCTTTCTGAGCACCGAAAGTGAGGTAGTTGGAGATCTCGATGAGTTGGAGCTTTCGATAGAACACCGGCGCCACAAAACGAAGATTCTTTTCAGCCGTTACAAAGTATCACATTTCTTCCTATGACAGCGCAATGCATTTCCTATTGCTGACCTCTCCTGCTGAATGCGCACATTTCCTGCCCCCTGGAAGGTCCCCTTACAATACATTGTCACTGACCCGGAACGAGCAATGTAAGCTTGCTCCGGCTCAGCGACATCAGAGGATGAGCATGACAGCCAGGCAGCCAGCATTTTCAGCAGGGGATCTGGGTACTGGCTTTCCTACCGAGGGGAAAACGTTGTTTGCAGCGAGTGATCTCACGGCTCCCTATGTGAAGGAGATCGTGGTTCTGATTTTGTAGTGAGGAGGCAGTTTTAGATCCAGTGATGTGTTTCTCTATGCAATGCAGGCAGATCCTGGCTGGTGGGAGGGGCTGTACATAGCTTCCTGAAAACATTCACAGCATGAATGAACAGCGATTTGCATACAGATTATAATTTACATTTCCGAGTTATTGCAACAGATTTCCGGCCGTATGATGGCACTCGAGGACCTCCAGCGTCCTCCATTCTGTAAAGCTGAACTCCGGAGTAAGCATATATTGTCGCCATGTGTACTTCTTCCAGATCTGTGCAGTAATCCCGTGTGAGACTTGGAGCTTCCTGTAATAAAGACCGCTCACTGCTGCGCTCTCCTTGTGCAGGGTGACTGGTCTTGTCTCCGCCCCCTCCTGTAATAAAGACCTGTCACTGCTGCTCTCTCCTTGTGCAGGGTGACTGGTCTTGTCTCCGCCCCCTCCTGTAATAAAGACCTGTCACTGCTGCTCTCTCTCCTTGCGCAGAGTGACTGGTCTTGTCTCCGCCCCATACTGTAATAAAGACCGCTCCCTGCTGCTCTCACCTTGTGCAGGGTGGCTGGTTTTGTCTCTGCCCCTTCCTGTAATAAAGACCGGTCACTGCTGCTCTCTCTCTCTCTGTCAGGGTGACTGGTCTTGTCTCCGCCCCTCCTGTAATTTTCTGTAGTGGGTGGATCCTGATGGGCCACTCCCACAGCTCTGCTCTCTGCACAGGTTATGCACAGCACATCGATGATGTTATAGAACACCGGCGCCACAAAACGAAGATTCTTTTCAGCCGTTACAAAGTATCACATTTCTTCCTATGACAGCGCAATGCATTTCCTATTGCTGACCTCTCCTGCTGAATGCGCACATTTCCTGCCCCCTGGAAGGTCCCCTTACAATACATTGTCACTGACCCGGAACGAGCAATGTAAGCTTGCTCCGGCTCAGCGACATCAGAGGATGAGCATGACAGCCAGGCAGCCAGCATTTTCAGCAGGGGATCTGGGTACTGGCTTTCCTACCGAGGGGAAAACGTTGTTTGCAGCGAGTGATCTCACGGCTCCCTATGTGAAGGAGATCGTGGTTCTGATTTTGTAGTGAGGAGGCAGTTTTAGATCCAGTGATGTGTTTCTCTATGCAATGCAGGCAGATCCTGGCTGGTGGGAGGGGCTGTACATAGCTTCCTGAAAACATTCACAGCATGAATGAACAGCGATTTGCATACAGATTATAATTTACATTTCCGAGTTATTGCAACAGATTTCCGGCCGTATGATGGCACTCGAGGACCTCCAGCGTCCTCCATTCTGTAAAGCTGAACTCCGGAGTAAGCATATATTGTCGCCATGTGTACTTCTTCCAGATCTGTGCAGTAATCCCGTGTGAGACTTGGAGCTTCCTGTAATAAAGACCGCTCACTGCTGCGCTCTCCTTGTGCAGGGTGACTGGTCTTGTCTCCGCCCCCTCCTGTAATAAAGACCTGTCACTGCTGCTCTCTCCTTGTGCAGGGTGACTGGTCTTGTCTCCGCCCCCTCCTGTAATAAAGACCTGTCACTGCTGCTCTCTCTCCTTGCGCAGAGTGACTGGTCTTGTCTCCGCCCCATACTGTAATAAAGACCGCTCCCTGCTGCTCTCACCTTGTGCAGGGTGGCTGGTTTTGTCTCTGCCCCTTCCTGTAATAAAGACCGGTCACTGCTGCTCTCTCTCTCTCTGTCAGGGTGACTGGTCTTGTCTCCGCCCCTCCTGTAATTTTCTGTAGTGGGTGGATCCTGATGGGCCACTCCCACAGCTCTGCTCTCTGCACAGGTTATGCACAGCACATCGATGATGTCACCGCTTCATTCTCAAGGTAATATCTGGGTTTGTAAAGGCATTTGGTGCTCACAAAGCGGCTATTGAGAATTATAATTACATAAAAGTTCTCTGCTCCCGGAGTTCAGCTTTAATACAAGTCACGTTCTGTCCGGGTTTTGTGTCTCCCGTGGGCTGCTCGGTGTGTTGGGGTTCACACGGCGGCCCGGGGAAGTGAGCAGTCTATCTCTGAGTCCGGGGCGCCGGCTACACCTCGGCCTCCATGCTGTTTGATGTGTTGGCCTGGAGGTTCTGTGGCTTCTCCTCCCTCCCGTTCGGGGTGATTTCTTCCTCTTTCGTGGCGTCGGCGGTTTCTCGGAGGACTTTGGTCTCCACGGACTCCTTCTCCACTTTTATCTTGCTGAAGAACACGCTGGTTTTGTACCTGAAGCATAAGAAATACATGAAATGATATGTCGGTGTCTCTCCCATCACTCCCATGAAGAACAATTCTGCAGGCGGCACCATCAGAACCAGAGCTAAAGTGGATTTTCACTTCTCTGGTCCCTCACTTCCCCCTCATCAACATGCTAATGACATTTTCATTGCATGCCTTATTTTAGACCCTGTGAGGTCATCACTGGCTCTATGTGCTTCTCCATGCAGTGCAGGCAGATCATGGACGGTGGGAGGGGCTGGCAGGGGGCTTTCTGTACGTCTCTATGCAATGCAGGGACATCAGGGCTGGTGGGAGGAGCCAGCAGGGGGATTTCTGTACTTCTCTATGCAATGTAGACAGATCATGACTGGTGGGAGGAGCCGGCATAGGGATTTCTGTACTTCTCTATGCAATGTAGACAGATCATGACTGGTGGGAGGAGCCGGCATAGGGATTTCTGTACTTCTCTATGCAATGTAGACAGATCATGACTGGTGGGAGGAGCCGGCATAGGGCTTTCTGTACGTCTCTATCCAATGCATGCAGGTCATGACTGATGGTAGGAAGGGCCGGCAGGGTGCTGTACATAGCTTCCTGAAAACAGCACTGCTTCAGTACTCCTCTCAAGAGCCCTCAGCCCTGATGCAAGCTGTGGGCCGGCTCCTGGGAGGAGTTATGCAAATATCAAAATGCCTTGATGGGTGGGTGTCAGTCTGGAGCTATGAATGTTCCTTTATTTTCATGCAGAGCACCCACATGTGATGCTAAGCCTCCACGATCGAAAGAACTGAAATCCAATGAATGAAAGGGGCGGGGCCAGGTAGGAGGAAAGGGCTAGATCACTTTTGGTGACAGGTCCTCTTTATGGAGACATTAGGGATCTATTAGACTTTTAATGCAGGGGCAGGCACTCTAGCTGTTGTGGAACTACAAGTCCCATGAGGCATTGCAAGACTCTGACAGCCACAGGCATGACTTCCGGGAGGCCGATGTTTTTTTTTTCCATCCTAGATGATGTTGGAAGTCCTCCAGCAATACGCGGTACACCCATGATGCTGGTTTTGCAGAGCATTCTGTATTGTTAGTCCTATTGAGTGTTACTTACTTCCTAATGTAGCAGATGGCGAGCACCACGGCTGCTATGAAGAACACCACTGCCAGGATGAGCAGCGCGGTCGGTAATTCTGAAATTAAAAAAAGACAAAATAATTACATACTGAATGCGGAAACAATGAATGAAAGTAATTCTGTGTTTCAAGGTGCATTTCACATACACTATATTGCCAAAAGTATTGGGACACCCCTCCAAATCATTGGATTCAGGTGTTCCAGTCACCTCCATGGCCCCCGGTGTATAGGATGAGGCACCTCGGCATGCAGACGCGTCTACAAACATTGGTGAAAGAATGGGTCGCTCTCAGGAGCTCAGTGACTGATAGGTTGTCACCTCTGCAATAAGTCCATCCATGACATTTCCTGACTACTAAATATTCCGCGGTCACCTGTTACTGGTATTATAACAAAGTGGAAGCAACTGGGAACAACAGCAACTCAGCCAGGAAGTGGTAGGCCACGTCACATGACAGAGCGGGGTCAGCGCATGCTGAAGCGCACAGTGCGCAGAAGTCGCCAACTGTCTGCAGAGTCAATAGCTACAGACCTCCAAACTCCATGTGGCCTTCAGATTGGCACAACAACAGTGCGTAGAGAGCTTCATGGAATGGGTTTCCATGGCCGAGCAGCTGCATCCAAGCCGCACATCACCAAGTGCAATGCAAAGCGTGGGATGCCGTGGTGTAAAGCGCGCCGCCACTGGACTCTAGAGAAGTGGAGACGTGTTCTCTGGAGTGACCAATCACGCTTCTCTGTCTGGCAATCCGATGGGCGTGTCTGGGTTTGGCGGTTGCCAGGAGAACGGTACTTGCCTGACTGCATTGTGCCAAGTGTAAAGTATGGTTGAGGGGGGATTATGGGGGGGGTTGTTTTTCAGGGGTTCTGAACAATGGATCAGCACAATTGATTAGTGGATCAGTACAATGGATCAGTACAATGGATTAGCACAATGGATCAGTACAATGGATTAGCACAATGGATCAGCACAATGGATTAGTGGATCAGTACAATGGATTAGCACAATGGATCAGTACAATGGATTAGTGGATCAGTGGGTTAGGGTTAGTGGATCAGTACAATGGATCAGTGGGTTAAGGTTAGTGGATCAGTACAATGGATTAGTCTGATGTTGAAGCCATTGGCAGCATTGTGTTACAATGTATCTCTCTGTCTAACTATGACCGTGTAAGACCGCGTTCACACCACGGCGTTTCGTCACACGTTTTTTTCCGCGCTGAAGCGCACGCGGCATAAAATCCCCTGTATTCCTATGAGGGCCGTTCACAGACACACGCTCAATCACGCGTCCAAATACGCCTGGTATTCGAAATAGTCCCTGAGCTTCTTCTGTGGTACTTATCAGCCCGTTTTGCTCCATAGACTTCAAAGGAAAGGCGCCGATCAGCGCATTTTTGTGTGCGTTTTTTCAGGAGCTGAGACCGCTTTCTTTTGGACAGCTGTAAAACACACTGCAATGCGCATAAAACGCGCCTAAGGCGCACCGAAACGCTGTGGCCCTGGTGTGAATGGGGTCTAACAGCTGAATCCGTTTTCCCGCGATCGCCTACAACTGCCCAGACTGGTAACAATGGTAACAATGCGATCATTTTGTTTCAATAAAAGAACAACGTCATTTATGAAATGCAGCTGCTGCAGATCGGCAGTTGATGGGTTCTGCGCACGACAACTACAATTCCCCACAATACATAGAGCGGCTTGCGGTGAACGGGAAAATTTACTTCCAAATACGATCCTCTCGCTCTGCCGAGCCGCTTGATTTTCCGGTGGGTTCGTCGGTTCCTCCGTTAATGGCGGAGTCGTCGTCTTTGGCGTCGTAGTGGGCGGAACCACTTTTGGTGTCGTCTTTAGTGTTGTTATCAATGTGGAGGAGTGCGGACGGCTCGTCGACTCTCTCGATGTTGTCGGTAAGATCGGCCATCCTGTTGTCCTTCCCTGCGGATCTGTGACCCGTGGTTGAGTGGTTGGCGGTGGCGGGGAATCGGTCGTTGGCGACGCGGTGCTGGGCGCTATAGTCACCATGAGCCCCGGTTTACAGGAATTGATCCGCAGATCTGAAATGAAAGAGGAGACAAGTGAAGGAGATCCGGTGAACAATCGATGACCTTCTAGTCCCGGGGTCAGGCAACCTTGGCTGTCCAGTTGTTGTGGAACTACAAGTCCCATGAGGCATTGCAAGACTCTGACAGCCGCATGCATGACTTTCAGAGGTAGAGACTTCATGGGATTTGTAGTTTCACCGCAGCTGGACTGCCAAGGTTGCCTTCCCCTGTTCTAGATGACAACTCCAAGAACGGGGCCTTCATTTGGACCATTTTAATTGATATTTCTAGAAGAACATTTCAGCATTTTTTTTAAGGCTTGACTCCGCCCCCCACCCCGGTCCATTCACAGAGCGCCTTGCATTGAGATCCATTCATCCATGGAACATTCTTTGAGTTCAGCCTTCCAATAGCTTCCTTCTATACCTGACTGCCCAGAGTTCCACCCAGGATTAAAAATCTCACTTTGGGGCTGCTGTAAAGTAAAGGCAATAACTAGACTTTATCTTTCTCCTCTAGCAGGGGAGCCCGGGTGACACCCCGCCGTGTCGTCATCGCGCATGCGTGGCCATCTTGGTGATACACGCCGGCAGAGAGAGGAGGGGACGGATGGGTTATGCCGCCGGGTTCCCTCCTCTCTCCTGACACTGTCGGGCTCTCGGTCCATGACTGAGTGCCCGACTTTTTAGAGGGGGTGACACCAAAATGACTGTCAGTCATTTTGGTGTCACCCCTGCAATGGTGTCACCCGGGTGCGGGCCGCACCCCCCGCGCCCCTCTTGTGACGCCACTGCCTCTAGTGTACTCTGTTCAGGGTACATGGCTGTACCAACAAGGAGTGGGAAGATGTGAGAACAGCAGGTGAGAGTGGTGTTAGTTCTGGGGCATGAAGCCGGCTTTCTGGCCAATCAGGAAGGCAGGGGGCATGTAATGACACGCTGCCCGGCTTCCTGATTGGCCGGGAAGCCGGTTCCATGCTCCCTCGTCACTTGTGAAGTGGTGTTAGTTCTGGGGCATGAAGCCGGCTTCCTGGCCAATCAGGAAACCAGGCAGTGTGTAATGCCTCGCGGCCCGGCTTCCTGTCACCAGAAGCTCAGGTATTGGGGTTGGACATCCGAGCATTTGGGCGAGTACCAGTACTCACCCAAATACTCGGCACTGATACCAATACTAGTATCGGTATCGGTGCATCCCTAGTATAACAAACTAAAAGAGACCAAATAAGAGACGTTCATTGTTGGGGTTAACACCCCTACGTCCACCTTTCCTCTGACCGTTATAAACTGATTGGTTGTCACGGCAACCAATCAGCTTCTCTCTTCAGTTTGCTCAGTTAAGCTTTGGAAATGAAAGACAGAAGCTGATTGGTTACTATGGCCAACTGCTGCACATTCCATCTGATCCAGTTTGGATCAATTCCCTTTTGGGTGTCTCTAGCCTCTTGTCCATCGCTATCTTTGTATCAGGTCAGCTCAAAGTATTGAAGCCAGCGGATCAGCTGAACAGCCAGGCAACCAGAATTGTCAGAATAAAATACAAGCTTTCTCACCAGAAGAGTTGAAACAATAGACGCTGAATTCGTGGGTCGGCGGGACGGTCCAGGTGAGAACCCCAGTTAGGTTCCTTCCACATTTTTCATTGTTCTGAATTCGTGGAATAACTCCGTACTTCTCCACCACCCACCCGTAGCTGTGGAGGAGAGGAACAGCCGTTGGATCACAGATATGAAGAGGATGAGGGACGGGGACATTTGAAGTTGTTTGGCAACAGTTTGGGGACAATTTATACAAAATTATTTCATTACTTATTTAACCAATGAAACTGCATATACAGGTGAAACTCGAATAATTAGAATATCGTGCAAAAGTAATTGCAGTAAGTGCTGCAAAAGGGGCCCAAACCAAGTACTGAGTACATATGCATGCTTGTACTTTTCAGAGGTCCGATATTGTTCTATGTACAATCCTTGTTTTATTGATTGTATGTAATAATCTACTTTTTTTGAGGTTGTGGATTTGGGGTTCTTGGGGTTTCCATGAGCTGTAAGCCATAATCATCACAATTATGACAAATCACGGCTTGAACTATCTTGCTTTGCATGTAATGAGTCTCTCTCATATATTAGTTTCACCTTTTAAGTTGCATTAGTGAATTAAATGAACTTTGCACGATATTCTAATTATTCGAGTTTCACCTGTACATTCCTTCTGTTCGAGTCAACCAGCTGTTGTGAATCGAATGCTCTCTTAGTGTAGCTTCTCTTCTGGTCGAAATGTTCTTTAAAGGAGAACTATGGGGTCAGTGTTTTTCCCCATAGTTCTCCTGAGGGTAACGGGAGGACACAAACTAGCGTCCTCCCGCTACCCTAAGCTCGGTATACCGCGAGCTACAGCTCGCGGTATACTGAGACGCCGCACCTGGAGCGGATCCCGACGTAGATGACGGGATCCGCCCAGCTGCGTGAGTGACAGCTGGCTCTGCCTACCTAGAGGCAGAGCCAGCTGTAACCGCCCCCTCCCCCGTCCGTTCCACCAGTCAGCGCTGGCAGATCGGAGAGGGGAGAGGGGAATCCAGCCCCTCCCCCTGTCACGGCAGAGAGCCGTGACAGGATCGAGAGGTGAGGGAACCCGGTATGTGTTCGCTCACCTCTCGACCTACTGAGCCGACCTGTGACAGTCTCATTGTCACAGGTCGGCTAGAACTATGAGGTGAGTGGAAATCACTCATCTCATAGTTCTCCTTTAATTGATTCATAAAGAACAGAGTGAATGGGGAAAATACCTAATTATGGCCACTAGAGGAAGCCGAGGATCATAGGAAATAAATACATCTTAGCAACAGAAGACACAATGTTACAATTCAAGAGACCGCTGGAGAGAATGAGCCAATAAATGTGACTCTTGATACTGCGGGGACAGTGATGGTGACATTTATATGTTTGTTCATTCCCTCCAGCGATCCTCAGCTAGTGGCCGTAAAGTGGTACTTTCTAGACACGTGTATTCGGATTCGGACGAACCTGCAAATCAACAAAAATCAGGTGATTCAGCGGTTCGTCCGAATCCGAAATAACTATTTTGATATCACTAGCCGAGATCACTTGTATGCAGCCTGCAGGTCCGTAACCTCCCTCCATGGTACCCAAAGGGACGGCCGCTTGCCTCCCCACCCCAGGACAACAGCACAGTAGTTCAGGATGAAGAGCGGGGAGCAGAGCGGAAAACGTCAGTTCTCCGGTCTGCTCCATGTGAACAGTGAGACAGGAACGATGTACTCGCAGCCTTCCCACCTCAGCTATCACAACAGAGCCAGCACGGTGCTGTGCTAGAACTCCTTCATCAAAGAGCACCTGTCACCTCCAAAGGCTATCACACCGGGGCTTGTTATCCCCCGTGTGATAGTAATAAAGTTAAAGGAGAACTATGGGGTCAGTGTTTTTCCCCATAGTTTTCCTAAGGGTCACGGGAGGACACAAACTAGCGTCCTCACGTCTCCCAAAGCTCAGTATACCGCAAGCTACAGCTCGCGGTATGCTGAGACCGCCGCAGCCGGGACGGATCCCGACATTACTGTCGAGATCCGCCCAGCTGCGTGATTGACAGCTGGCTCTGCCTATCTAGAGGCAGGGCCAGCTGTACCCGCCCCCTCCCCCGTCCATTCCGCCAGTCAGTGCTGGGGGATTGGACGGCGGAGATGGGAATCCCTGGGGGGAGCCGTGACTGGCAGTCACGGCTCTCTGCAGGGACAGGATGGAGAAGTGAGCGGGCGACGGTATGTGTTCGCTCACTTCCCGATCTACTGAGCCGACGTGTGATAGTTTCAATTATAAAAATAAAAAGTGATAAAAAAAAGTTAAAAATAATCAAATCAATAAAAATTAAGTAAAAGATAAAACAGGAAAAAAGGGGGGAAAAAAAGTGATAAAAAAGTAAAAAAATTATAAAAATAAAATGTTTAAATGTTTGAATATGTGCGTTTCCCTATTTCGCCCGAGGCAGTGATGCTGAACGTTTTTTTAAACGCCCGCCGCCCAAACTAAAATAACAAACTTATTTTCAGTGTTGGCACTTTAAGATAAATGCATTGATTTTGTGTCGCAGTTTGGGCTCCCGGGCTCAAAAACGTTACCCCTCACTGACATAGACCACGCAAAACACAAACAGAAGGACGGCGCCCTTTCCCCCGTGTGATAACGTTTATTCAATGTGAAATTGCGTACAAGATTTAAAAAAACTAGTCACATGTGCATGAGGGAATCAAGCGATATATTGAGTCGTGTGCAGGGCAGAGCCAAAAGAGCTGACGCATTTCAGGCGATCCCCCCTTCCTCAGAGCTCAGAGGAAGAGGCAATCCCCCAAAACGCGTCAGCTCCATTGGCTCTGCCCTTCAGGTATGGTTCATTATATCGCTTGTTTCCATCATAAAAGGGATTTTTGTTTCCAGTATGCTTTGATTGTATTATCAGAAACACCTCCAGTATGTATTCCTATTACAATGCTGATGTCATAACAGGAGCTATGCGCACTCTGGAGCCGGCACGCAGGGTGGCAATTGTTAATATTTAAATTCTTGCACTGGTTCTCTTCAATGTCTGGTGCCATGTATCACACCTGCCTTCCAAATTATACAGCAATTTGTATATTTCCTCTCCTCGTCCGGAAGGTGGAACCGTCGCCGATAGAAATGACCCAACAGGCCACCATCCTCACCCACCTACCTGCAAGTCTCAAAGCCAAAATCCCGCGCCTTCGCTATGTTGGGCCTGCTGGCGATCTGCAACCCCAGAGCCTCACACACAGTCTCCGCCATCGTGTAGTTGAACTTCTTATCCACCAGAACCACACCGGCTATCCGGCACTTTAAGGGCGGCAGCG